ATTGTTAAACCTACCCCGACTGGCTGGCTGAAATTTGAGATAATTTGTTCTATATTTAATGCTCATGAATATGATGAAGTCAGTTATTAATTTTGTTAAAAGTTCAGTGCTTAAAAGTTCGTGGTTATTTTTATCTCTTGTCACATGAAGGCCGCTATATAAACAATGTTAATAGCATTGTGCAAAAGTGGTTAGGAACCATTATAATACAAATGTAACGATGTGCATTTTGATATTGTTGTTTTGCAGGGCCAGTGAAGTATGATGTGGGCTTACAACATTTTTGCTTAACTAGCCCTCCTGGCCAGTGACGCTTCAAAAATTAATTCATACACTGTGTATACAATGGCAGTCTGAAGAAGGTCATGAGTCTTGACCAGACAATACAGCTATCTTCAGATCTATCTACATGAAATGAGAACGATAACTGCCAATACTGCCATGTCTTGTGTTCACAGCTAAAGATGTCATGACTAAACTAAAGTTCAAGACACATCCACTGATTATAATCCCATACTGATTTCTCTTACTCATCTTTGTAAATTTAATGCATACTGATTCATAAACAGATAACATTTATTTTGTACTCATTATTGAAGTTGTATTTCCTTTCAGTTTCCAGGCCCTAATGAAGAAGGCATTAAATATGACTTCAAAATGATGCAAGATGTTGCTCCAAAGATTGTAAGGGTTTGGTTAGGACCATTCCTGGCTATGATAATGTTACATCACCCAGACACAGTAAAACACCTGCTTAAGTCCTCAGGTAAGTGGTTTACATTTACCTTATGGTGTCAGACACCTGTTGTGATAGATGGTTTACATTTACTTGGTACTGTCAGACACCTGTTGTGATAGATGGTTTACTTTTACTTGGTGCTGTCAGACACTTGCTGTGGTAGATGGTTTACATTTACATGGTAATGTCAGACACTTGCTAAAGTCCTGAGGTAGATGGTTTATATTTATTTTATAGTGTCAGACACCTGCTTAAGTCCTCAGGTAGATGGTTTACATTTACTTGGTTCTGTCAAATATCTGCTTAAGCCCCTCATGTAGATGGTTAACATTTACTTGATACTGTCAAACGCCTGCTTAAGTCCTCAGGTAGATGGTTTACATTTACTTGGTGCTGTCAGACACCAGTCCTCAGGTAGATGGTTTACATTTACTTGGTGCTGCCAGACACCAGTCATCAGGTAGATGGTTAACATTTATGCTGTCCGACACCTGCTCAAGTCCTGAGGTAGATGTTTTACATTTACTAGGTACTGTCAGACACCTGCCCAATTCCTCAGGTAGATGGTTCACAGTTTCTGGGTACTATTCCCCGTACACACAGTCCTCAAATGTACGGACACTTGCACACATACACACCTACACTTGTTGTATATGTGGAATAATTAAGATTCCCATTTTCCCACTCTTGTATTCATATGTTCATTTCAGAGCGAAGCCCAGGGAAAGTATGTATCAGGGTCAGATGACATGGGTGTGCCCTGGTTGGGGAAGGGCTGCTCATTGCCAATGGAGACCGATGGGCAAGAAGTCACGCCTTCTCACCCCAGCTTTCCATTTCGACATCCTCAAACCTTACTTTTCAATCAATAATCAGGCTACTGATATTTTGTTGGTAAGTACTTAATATCATCACTTTTTTTTTTGTTTCAGAGCATTTGTCCCATAGTTTTATGTTTTGAAACTTTTATAAACTATTATTCATGTTCCCAGCTACATCCACAAACAAATTTTTAAAGTATGAATTTGCCTGAGAAGAATGGTGTTGAAGGATAAGCAAGTTAACTCCTTTGAAGTTGTTTAAGAATTGTAGTCGGGAACATGTAACTTCCAGGGATTTACGTGGAGACCTGTATTTGAGGGTCCCTGGGACTCATACCGGTACTCTTAATTGTCAGGGTCCTGGACAACAAAATGGGGTCCAAGACACTGAAATGTTATTCAGAGGCCCAGATAAGCTGCGTATCCGGTAAAATACGATAGAATGCGCGAAGTGCGCAGCAAATTACACACACACACACACACACACACACACACGGATCCACCTATGATGTGAAGAGCCAAATTCCCCTTTGAAATATTGCTGGAATATTGCTAAACTCTCACTCACATAACAATTAATATGGCAGCAACTGCTTCAAATAACAAATCAGCTGTGATAACAGGTAAAATTACATAAAAGCAAATATCGTAAAGTTTGTACTTTAAATCTTCAATACTTTTGTCGGTTTATGCTCCTTATTTTTGTACAGAAGAAACCCTACATGTTAGCTACACTACTCAAAAGACGTTAAAGGAACACTCGATTCTTGCCCCAGTGTAAGAATCGTTTAGAGATATATTTATCACACACGACCTTTGTTGACTGAGTACAGTAATGATTTACTGTAGTCATTGGGTCGGGTCATGCAATAAATTTCGATTTGTTCGTGCGATAAAGCACGTGGCAAAGTAGAACACCCTAGATTTTTGACCTAACAGACACAATATGACCAACCTTTGCGCCAACGCAGCATACCCGGTGAACCAGGTTACATATTACCTTCAAACGTTATATACTGTACCATTGAGCTCTTCTCGCTGCCGACCCGAAGGTCCGGGTCTATTAGAATAGCCCTTCAGCAACCCATGCTTGCTATAAAGGCGACTATGCTTGTCGTAAAGGCGACTAACGGGATCGGGTGGTCAGGCTCGCTGACTTGGTTAACACATGTCATCAGTTCCCCATTGCGCATATCGATGCTCATGATGTTGATCACTGGATTGTCTGGTCAGACTCACGATTGGTTTACAGACCGCCGCCATATAGCTGGAATATTGCTGAGTGCGGCGTAAAAAACTCAAACTCACTCACTCTTCTCGCTGCCTATGCTTCGGAGTCTGCGATCGTCTATCTAAAAACACTAGCCAAATATACTGATCGATTAGGAAAAGATGGATAACAAAGCAGTAATTTTTGGTTTTGCTGAACTTGCCGAAATTGTAAGCAAGATCTACGCCATAAAGGGTACGGCGACGCTCATTAGAAATTGGACAGGACCGGGCTCCGTACCCAACCTATTTTGTGGCCTGTTTGTGTGCGTCCCTTTCCCCGAAAATATTTTCCCTGAAGAGCATTTCCCCTAATCTTTGGACTTCATGACTCATGTGCAAAACACCCTGACACACCTCAACCCCACCCCTCTGGATTCGACCCTTGCTTAATTGTTGGATCCTCCCTACTCAGTGGTACCCGATCCTCAGGACGACTCCGTACTTATGAATGATTGGAAACATTATTCGACGTTGTTGAGTTGGAGATTCCATATTGGAATACTTTATGCGACCTGTGGCATTGACTGATAAGAAATGAAGGCCAGTTGAGGTGTGAAATCACAAACGCTGATTGAATTAATTGGGTGATTGTTCATTCACCAACTAACAATTGAAACTAATGAATGAATACTTGAATGGTGCAATGAATAAAAGTCTGAAATGCATAATGCCTAAATTTTAAAATAAAGAATGAATATAAGTTAGAATAGAGACCATATTATAGGATTATTATACGGTCTATGGTTTGAGCTTTGTATAATGAATGGAGTTTTCAAAGTGTATTATAATTATTAATAAATTAATTTTTGGAAATATCATAGCTTTGAATAAATTGTTATGAAAGTGGAGACGAGAGTCTGTAAATAGAGTGCTGTAGCAGACCTATGTGACTTTGGTCAAGACATATTGACTTTGTGAAACTTGACTTGACTCTTACTTTATTTTCATAAAACAAAGATAAATGTAAGAATTTGCAAATGCACGCGAATATCCATTTGAGGGAGTGTACATTTCGAGAGATGTAACAGAGACGGGTGTCTTTTATTGATTGGTTATATTGCAAGAGAACAGTTCGGTCACGGCTGCGAGGCATTCGTCACCATTTGCCCCTATCCGTATCCTCCAAGAAAAAAGATATTTGGTAGGCCTTGTCAGGGAATCAGAACTTAGTTACAGAGCTGAAATTTGAAAATTTGTAGAATGGTATAAATCAAACTTTTTTTTTTGAATGTGCAAAAAACCAAAGAAATGATCATAGATTTTAGAAAAGCTAAGTCAACAATAAATGATGTAAGTACTGAAGATAATGAAATAGAAAGAGTAACTGAATACAAATATTTGGGTACTGTCTTAGATTCAAACTCTCCTGGAACGAAAGCACGGAGACAATATAAAAGAAAGGACAACAACGTTAATTAACGCTTGCATTTTTGTGGAAGTTGTTCAAAACATTTTAAAATCGACCAAACTATCATGATGCTAGTTTACCAAAAACTTTATTAAAAGTGTCATAACCTTTAATTTCTTGAGTCGGTTCGGGAACTTGTCTGTCAGAATAAAAGCAAACTCTCAAAATCGTAAACACTGCGTCTAAAATTATTGGGCTTCCCCATCGAAAGTATCAGCAGTTGTTATAAACAGCAAATTTCAAAAAGGCAAACAAAAGTTTAAGTGATTCTACTCACATACTTTGTTTTCGGAATATTCATCATTACTTTCTGGACGCAGGCTGCGTATGCCGACTTTTAGAACAAACAGGGTTCGCCACTCATTTGTTCCAGCAAGTATTAGATGTACATGTATTAACAACCAGAGACCATATGTTATATGGTCTCTGTAACAACAAATTCAATGAATAACTTGTCTTCCAACTGATCAGTATCAATGTTTGTGTACTAAATTGATGTATTTATATCCTGATTGTTTTAAACAATAGTTTTATGATTATCAAAATGTTATATAAGGCTGCTTTATGAAAGAAAAACTGGAGAACTGCATATGATGCAAAACAAATTTTCCTTGGGATATGAATGTCCCGGAATAACACGAAACGCTTAGAGGCTCCAAACACCGATTCAAGCACAAGTGGTGCACCGAAGTTAATTAGACTTGGCTCCTGTCTCGTAGTTTTATAAAATCGCACAACATAGTGCAGCGTACAAGTAAATAAGTAGTTCAAACACGAGCTCAGATGCGTCTGCTAAGCGGTGTTTGTTGATAGTTCAGTTTTCACTGAGTGTTATCAGCGAATGTAAAGTCAGTGCGACATTAGACATTGGATTTATGTCCTTTTGTTTTACAAGTACGAAGGAAACATGGAGGAGTCTTCTTTCAATTCTAACATTTTGAACACGATCATCATCGCCGTCTTGGGATATTTGACAGTGAAGGCTATCAGTGGTATTCTCAAGTTCATGAAGTTCAGGAGAATATACAACGCCATCCCTGGGGAACAGTCCTTCAACCCTTTTTTGGGAACTCTGCACAAGGTGACAAATAGCTGTGAAAATAGCCAAACCAAGCTCCAACTTCTGTGACGCATTAGCAGGCAATTTCATCAATGTTTTGTTGTCATCCATGCTGGTTGTCATCAGACCCCTGGCCCTGTACAATTTGCTTACAATGTATTGGTACAGGGCCACCGGCAGATCTACTTTCATTAATAGTGACCTAACATGTCTTCATGGCTTTGTGGGGCGGTGGGGTAGCCTGTAGTGGTTAAAGCGTCCGCTCGTCATGCTAAAGACCTGGGTTCGATTCCCCACATGGGTATGATGTGTGAAGCCCATTTCTGGTGTCCCCCGCCGTGATATTGCTGTAATATTGCTAAAAGCGTCGTAAAACTATACTCAGTCACTTCATGGCTTTGAAGCGGCTTAGTCATAAGGGGTGCTGCAGAGTTGTTTCCCTTAGAGATGACAGGAACCAAACTTCAAGGGATCAAATCTTGGTTGTGCAAATATGTGGCTTGGTTTGTCTTCATCATACCTGTCTGATTCAATCACCAAAGTTACATGTATACAAAGCGTGCGAAATAGCTTAGCTGGCGTGCTAGCCAAATGTTATCTTACTGTAAATCGGACCAGTAATATATTGTTAAACCTACCCCGACTGGCTGGCTGAAATTCTGAGATAATTTGTTCTATATTTAATGCTCATGAATATGATGAAGTCAGTTATTAATTTTGTTAAAAGTCTGTGCGCAAAAGTTCGTGTTATTTTTTATCTCTTGTCACATGAAGGCCGCTATATAAACAATGTTAATAGCATTGTGCAAAAGTGGTTAGGAACCATTATAATACAAATGTAACGATGTGCATTTTGATATTGTTGTTTTGCAGGGCCAGTGAAGTATGATGTGGGCTTACAACATTTTTGCTTAACTAGCCCTCCTGGCCAGTGACGTTTCAAAATTAATTCATACACTGTGTATACAATGGCAGTCTGAAGAAGGTCATGAGTCTTGACCAGACAATACAGCTATCTTCAGATCTATCTACGCAAATGAGAACGATAACTGCCAATACTGCCATGTCTTGTGTTCACAGCTAAAGATGTCATGACTAAACTAAAGTTCAAGACACATCCACTGATTATAATCCCATACTGATTTCTCTACTCATCTTTGTAAATTTAATGCATACTGATTCATAAACAGATAACATTTATTTTGTACTCATTATTGAAGTTGTATTTCCTTTCAGTTTCCAGGCCCTAATGAAGAAGGCATTAAATATGACTTCAAAATGATGCAAGATGTTGCTCCAAAGATTGTAAGGGTTTGGTTAGGACCATTCCTGGCTATGATAATGTTACATCACCCAGACACAGTAAAACACCTGCTTAAGTCCTCAGGTAAGTGGTTTACATTTACCTTATGGTGTCAGACACCTGTTGTGATAGATGGTTTACATTTACTTGGTACTGTCAGACACCTGTTGTGATAGATGGTTTACTTTTACTTGGTGCTGTCAGACACTTGCTGTGGTAGATGGTTTACATTTACATGGTAATGTCAGACACTTGCTAAAGTCCTGAGGTAGATGGTTTATATTTATTTTATAGTGTCAGACACCTGCTTAAGTCCTCAGGTAGATGGTTTACATTTACTTGGTTCTGTCAAATATCTGCTTAAGCCCTCATGTAGATGGTTAACATTTACTTGATACTGTCAAACGCCTGCTTAAGTCCTCAGGTAGATGGTTTACATTTACTTGGTGCTGTCAGACACCAGTCCTCAGGTAGATGGTTTACATTTACTTGGTGCTGCCAGACACCAGTCATCAGGTAGATGGTTAACATTTATGCTGTCCGACACCTGCTCAAGTCCTGAGGTAGATGTTTTACATTTACTAGGTACTGTCAGACACCTGCCCAATTCCTCAGGTAGATGGTTCACAGTTTCTGGGTACTACCCGTACACAGTCCTCAAATGTACACGGACACTTGCACACATACACACCTACACTTGTTGTATATGTGGAATAATTAAGATTCCCATTTTCCCACTCTTGTATTCATATGTTCATTTCAGAGCCGAAGCCCAGGGGAAAGTATGTATCAGGGCCGTATGACATGGGTGTGCCCTGGTTGGGGGAAGGGCTGCTCATTGCCAATGGAGACCGATGGGCAAGAAGTCGGCGCCTTCTCACCCCAGCTTTCCATTTCGACATCCTCAAACCTTACTTTTCAATCAATAATCAGGCTACTGATATTTTGTTGGTAAGTACTTAATATCATCACTTTTTTTTGTTTCAGAGCATTTGTCCCATAGTTTTATGTTTTGAAACTTTTATAAAACTATTATTCATGTTCCCAGCTACATCCACAAACAAATTTTTAAAGTATGAATTTGCCTGAGAAGAATGGTGTTGAAGGATAAGCAAGTTAACTCCTTTGAAGTTGTTTAAGAATTGTAGTCGGGGAACATGTAACTTCCAGGGATTTACGTGGAGACCTGTATTTGAGGGTCCCTGGGACTCATACCGGTACTCTTAATTGTCAGGGGTCCTGGACAACAAAATGGGGGTCCAAGACACTGAAATGTTATTCAGAGGCCCAGATAAGCTGCGTATCCGGGTAAAATACGCATAGAAAATTTCCAATTACGCATTGAAAAATAATTGTTGTGTACCAATGACGCATTTAAAATGTTAGATACGCAAAAAGTTTAAAACAAATGTGTACAGAATATATTTATAAAAATCGCTCGTGTAATGAAAAAGACATCGATTGCTATCAAGTTGTACTGTTAGTATAGGACTAGAGCTGTACTGTCAGTATAGGATGAGCGATTTTTTATGAAATCATGTCCATTATATTTAAGTTGGTTTTGATTAGGTATGACATAAGGCAGAACATACCTGCTGAGTAAACTTACTCACTGACATAATACTTAGGTGAGTAAAATGACTGAAATACGCACATATTTGAAAGCAGTGGGTAACAGAAAATGAAATACCCACTCAGCATTCATAATACTCACTCCCAAAAAATACAAATATGCGTTAATAAATTTTGTTGCGTCCATTGTCAATTTTTATGTGTATAAGACGCAGGAATTCGCGTCCTGTAAATCTCTGAATTTCTAACTGAATTTCAATTTCTAAAAGAAAGCATTCATACACAGTGAGTACAGAGGATTTCTAGCATCAAATCACCTTGCACAATGTTTTTCAGCCAATCAGATTACAGCATAGTCAGTGTGTTCCTTTGAGCATCGTAAGTTTTTCATGTTGAAATCATCTGCCTGCAGGACAAAATATCCAAAACCTGCAAAACAGGGAAAAGCTTTGAAGTGTTCAACGTCATTAGTCTGTGTGCTCTTGACATCTTACTGAGGTGTGCCTTCTCTCAGACCAGCAACTGTCAGACTGATGGGTAAGTTTTGTCACCAAACTCTATGAATGAGTATGATTCCACCTGGCTGGAATTTCAAGTATTTGTTTTGGCTAGCATGATGAGTCTATGTGTAGTCCACTCAACATGGTGAAACAATATTAAGATCTGTTTTGTAAACCACATGGATACTGCCAGTCAGACTTTGGCCAACAGCAGGATTCGTCTTATGTCTTGAACCCAATGTATCATGAATATCATAATTATTTGTTACCCGGACACAACACATTTTGTGGATTCATTGTGTTGACAAGTTTCTGGGGTTATCCCAGAGGAGAGGTTAGTTCCTGTGTTATAAAATCAAAATCCAGTGAAACATTTCTGTGTTGTCAGGATGAGAAATAATGTATAGTTTGCAATGAACAATTATAACATCAAGGCCCTTAGATGCAGAGGTCTGTATGCTTTAACAATGACAGTACCAGACAAAAAGACACTTTATTACACAACACGTGGAGGTAGAGCAAACTGTATTTCTTGAGTATTGTGCACGTGGGCTTCATATCAGAATATAATACTGCATCACTGAATTTTTACACTATCCAAGTTGGGACACCTTACCTTTGTGGCAAGTCCAGGCATTAAATATTCTTTGTGGTATGTGAAATAAGAATATGTCCTATCTTAACTTTTGTCTTTTATGTTTTATATTCAGAAAACCCATCTTATTCTTCGACTTCATTTATTTCCGGTGCCCGAGTGGCCGCAAGTTCCTCAAAACTTGCGACTATGTGCATCAGGTAGCGGAAGAAGTTATTGAGGCAAGAAGGAAAGTTGTGGTGAGTCTGACATCCAGGTCTTGGTTTTACTCTGTGATGTATCGGTAAACCAAGGAATTCCCAAGGGTTACAATGATATTCATTCTGAGATACCAGCTATGTTTTCTTCTGATTGTTCCTGAAATACCCAGAGGTAGCAATGTTCTAGACAAGGGAATTCCCCACAGGTTACAATGTTCTAAAATAAGGAATTCCCCTGGGGTTACAATATTATTCATTCTTGGATACAAGCTACATTTTTTTGTGACTGTTCCTGAAATACCCAAGAGGTTACAATGGTCCAAACTAGGGAATTCCCCAGAGGTTACAATGATATTCATTCTGAGATACCAGCTATGTTTTCTTCTGACTGTTCCTGAAATACCCCAGACGTAGCAATGTTCTAGACAAGGGAATTCCCCACAGGTTACAATGTTCTAAAATAGGAAATTCCCTGGGGGTTACAATGTTATTCATTCTTGATACAAGCTACATTTTTGGTGACTGTTCCTGAAATACCCAAGAGGTTACAATGGTCCAAACTAGGGAATTCCCTAAGGGGTTACAGTGTTCCAGGCAAGGGAATTCCTCACAGGTTACAATGTTTCAAATAGGGAATTCTCTAGAGTTAACAGTGTTCCAAACTAGGGAAGTCCCCAATAGTTACAATGTTATTCATTCTGAGATACAAGCTTCATTTTCTTGTGGCTGATCCTGAAATACCCCTATGGTCCAAGCTAGTAATTCCACAATGTTATTCATCCTGAGATACAAGCTACAAGAGGTTACAGTTTTCAAAAACTAGGGAATTCCCTAAGGGTTACAGTGTTCCAAACAAGGGAATTCCCCAGAGGTTGCGGTGTTTGAAACAAGGGAATTCTCCAGAGGTTGCAGTATTCCAAACAAAGGAATTCCCCAGAGGTTGCAGTGTTCCAAACAAGTGAATTCCCCAGAGGTTGCAGTGTTCCAAACAAGGGAATTCCCCAGAGGTTGCAGTGTTCCAAACAAGGGAATACCCCAGAGGTTGCAGTGTTCCAAACAAGGGAATTCCCCTGAGGTTGCAGTGTTATTCAATGTTATTCTGAGATACAAGCTACATTTTCCTTTGACTGTTCTGAAAGTTTTACCCCAGAAGTTACAATGATACAAACTAGATAATTCCCCAAGGGGTACAATGTTCCACACCAGGGTAATACCCCACAGGTTACAATGTTCCACACCAGGGTAATACCCAACAGGTTACAATGTTCCAAACCAGGGTAATACCTCACAGGGTACAATGTTCCAAACCAGGGTAATACCTCACAGGTTACAATGTTCCAAACCAGGGTAATACCTCACAGGGTACAATGTTCCAAACCAGGGTAATACCCAACAGGTTACAATGTTCCAAACCAGGGTAATACCTCGCAGGGTACAATGTTCCAAACCAGGGTAATACCCAACAGGTTACAATGTTCCAAACCAGGGTAATACCTCACAGGTTACAATGTTCCAAACCAGGGTAATACCTCACAGGGTACAATGTTCCAAAACCAGGGAAATCCCCGAGGTTACCATGTTCCAAATAGGCAATTCTCCTGGGGTTGCAATGTTCCAAACTAGGGAATTCCCCATGGTGTTACGATGTTCAAAACCAGTTAATTCCCCAAGTGTTACAGTGTGATTCGACCGGAGATACATGCTATACTTTCTTGTGACTGATCATGAGGTTCAGGCTCCACGTATTTGTGAATCATTCTGAGATTCAAGTTCCACTTTCTTGTGATTCGTCCTGAAGGACACTAGGCGGTAGGGCTGTAATGATGCATCGAACTATCGATGGATTGCAGTTGTTGAGTCCCCGATAGCAATTAATCAATGGTAGAAGCTAAAAACTATCGATGCATCGATAGTATGTGTGACTATCGATAGTTTTGTAATTGACTTCCGTTGATAATGAGCTGCGCAAGATACAGGAAGTACCAGATTCGTTCACTTTGATTTTGTTTTATCCACCCCTGTTACCTCTTTAATAAACTTATCTGGGTTTCAAGTTTCTTGTCAGTTATCAAAAGGGACTGAAACTAGTAAAACTTGTTTTATTTCATATAAACTATACATTTATTTGGGAAATGACTTCAAATGAGGCAATTCCAAGGTGAAAAAAACTCGCTATTCCAAAAGAATGTTGCAATAGACTATCGCTATCGCAATAGTTGTTTCCCCTTCAATAGTCCCACCAACTAGGAGGGGTCAAACATGCAGTCTTGAACGTGTCCACACACAATTTACCAGGGTAAAATTTGGAGCTGTCAGCACATGAGGAGAATCAGATACCACCCCTGGACTTTACTCACTGGTCTTTGAAAATGTGTATGATATTCAACTTAAATATACCCCACAGCCTCACCTATTTGCCACAGACCTCAAAAGCAGACTTCCTGTATACGTCAGCCCAGTACCTGATCCACTTACCCATAGATGGTTGCCCTATCCATGAAATGGAGGAAATACTTGTCTCTCCTTGTTCTGAGGAAAATAGAGGACACAGATTATGTGATAACCTCTGGTACGGTCCAGCTTGTGTAGATCAATGCTCATGCTGTTTATCACTGGATTGTCTGGTCCGGACTTGATTATTTAAAGACTGACACCATATAGCTGGAATATTGCTGAGTGTGGCGTTACTATCTCTACTTCTTTTGCACTATTTAGTAAAGCGGGATATGCAGGGCAAGTGCAGGTTACAGGTTAACCTGGTCTGTTGTATGTTTGTGCGAATTCTGTCCGAACAAGGATTGGATAAATCGTGTTTTTTTCAGAGTGAGAATGGTCCTACAACTCAGGAAGACGGAAAGAAGAAGAAGATACTGGACTTCTTGGATATTCTCCTGACAGCCAGAGATGAGGATGGGAATGGTTTGACTTCACTGGAGATCAGGAACGAAGTGGACACCTTCCTGTTTGAGGGTAAATTTGGAAACATTGATGATATTTGTATATCTAATTGTAACTAATTGTAAGGCCTGATACCGAGGTGAATTGCGGTGAGGTGAGATGAGGTGAACTGCAGTGAGGCGAGGTGAGACTGGGTATAATGTTTCATTCAAGATTGTTTCACATATACAGTGATATGCATGAGCAAGTGTGTGGCTGCCTCTGCTAAGTTGGTTTGGGGCTGTGGGGTAGCCTAGTGGTTAAAGTGTTCCTTGTCATCCTGAAGACCTGGGTTCGATTCCCCACGTGGGCGCAATGTGTGAAGTCCATTTATGGTGTCCCCGCCGTGATATTGCTGGAATATTGCTAAACTCACTCACATAACAATTAATATGGCAGCAACTGCTTCAAATAACAAATCAGCTGTGACAACAGGTAAATTGCATAAAAGCAAATATCGTAAAGTTTGTACTCCAAATCCTCAATATTTTTGTCGGTTTATGCTCCTTATTTTGTACGAAGAAACCCTACATGTTAGCTACACTTCTAAAAGACATTATGGAACACTTGATTCTTGCCCCAGTGTAAATTCTGTCATGCCCTGACAGAGTGACTGTTGTGATACGTAAGAATCCTTTAGAGACATATTTATCACACACGACCTTTGTTGACTGAGTACAGTAATGATTTCCTGTAGTCATTGGGTCGGGTCATGCAATAAATTTCGATTTGTTCGTGCGATAAAGCATGTGGCAAGTAGAACACCCCTAGATTTTGACCTTACAGACACAATATGACCCAGCCACATGGGCACAATGTGTGAAGTCCATTTATGGTGTCCCCTGCCGTGATATTGCTGGAATATTGCTAAAAGCGGCGTAAAACTAAACTCACTCACTCTTCTTATCTGGTTTCACAGTGGTAACAGGGAGCTGGGGTTGCCTAGTGGTTAAGGTAATGGGTCATCATGCAAAAGGGGAATTCCCCACATTGATTCAATTTGCCTCTCGTGTCCCTTGCTGTGATATTGCTGGAATATTGCTAAAGCGGGATAAAACCATGGATAACAATTTCTTTTATTTCGTGAGGGCAATGTTTCAGAGTCTTGTACCGATTGTCAAGCACGAATGTAACATGAGAAATAAGACAGGGGTGAGTCCATACGGAGTCCATGAATTTGTTCATAGATCTTATCACTCCAGGTAAATATGATAGAGTTGATACAGGTGGATGTGAGGCTGATGATGGAATCGGTTGAGAATATAGTACTGAGAGGTTGTTCATGGTTCTCAATTCAGTGGCGTAATGCTAGAAGGGCTTCTTCTTTCAGTATGTCGGTTCTTCAACTTTGTAACTGATGATGGGGGCAGGATTGGCTATGTCACAGATTTTGCTGTAGAAACCAGTAGAGTCAGTAGTAAAAGAGTCAGCAGATTTACCTAATAGTGAGAGTATAGTGGTGAGTGATGTGCAGTAATGTAGAACACAGCGTCAAGGGAACAAACTAGCAGACAGGTTTTCACACGATTCTTACGGATCTTGACAGGTGCTCAGGCGTTGGCTGGTTGAAGATGGGTCGTTGAGAGTTTGCGATGTAGGACTTTAGAGTCTTCATAGTTGTCATGCATGTCATTAGTTCCCAAATGCGTAGATCGATGCTCATACTGTTGATCAATGGATTGTCTGGTCCAGACTCGATTATTTACAGACTGCCGCCATATAGCTGGAATATAGCTGAGTGTGACGTAAAACTAAACGCACTCACTCACTCATAGTGGTCATGCAGGGTTTTCAGAGTAGCCATTTGATGACACTCTAAACATGAAGCACATGACTTTATGCATAACTATCTAGTTAAGCAAGTATTGTTATTCATTTCAGACACTGCCGTTGTAATAAGATCCTCATGACAGATAACATGATATTTCTGATGTGGAATATACTTTGTTAATAATCTTTAAAGAGGGAAATATGACATATACTTCCCTACCTGCAGGCCATGACACAACCACAAGTGCCATGTCCTGGATGTTATACCACATGGCTAAATACCCGGAGTACCAGACTCGAGTTCAGGAAGAAATAGATGGCATTTTGAAGGGGAGAGAATCTGACCATATCATGTGGTAAGTGAGTGACTTACTGAGTTGCTGTTGTTAGGCAGTAACATGGGATTTTGGGTTATTCAAAAATGTTTCTTAAACTCTCAAATAATTGATATTACTGGTATACCGTAATGCGCTTTTGAAACGATACATATTGCAATGCTTTTTGTGAGAACCGGTATATTGGGTAAAAAAACTACTTTATTAGTTGTGATTATCATAGTGGGTCAAGTTAAAATCTACCCTTTCATGCTCAACTGATGTTTCTTTTGATAATTAATTGCCCAAACAGTATACTTTTCATACTATCAATTGTATGAAATAGAAAATAGCACATTTTAAAACTTATCCTATCTCACGATTTGCACTTCTCTCTCTTGCTTCGACGCTGAGTAGAACAAATGAGAACTTTCCCCTGCAGGCCTGTCTTGTCCATACCGTTCCCCAGGCTGCTGTCTTTATAGGACAGGTCCCTAGTCCCTGGCTGCTGCAGCACGCTCCTGTCTACCCAATGCATGACTACCTCAGAGTGATCATTCTTCTTGTCGCATTCACTGTGTGGATCGTGATAGAGAGTTCTCAGTTTTCCTTACAAGTTAACATGAGAAATATATCATGGGTAGTTGACCCTAAGTAGCATAATTTTCCGCACACTGTAACAACATTTTCTTCCTCGGATCCCCACTCGTCATGTGAGGTTTGTATTGACCTGTGTTCCTGAAGCAAGCGTTGTCGGGAATGTGCTCCCTTATCAAAGACGTTTTTAGAGCATATAGACATGCTTGCTCCCATTGGCTGGCAGACAGAGCTAGTTACACTTCAACAGTTGATCACCCAACTAAACCCCTGCTTTCAATCGACCAGTATTAACTGCTCGTCGTTCGGAGATTCCCATGTTGGAAGGTGATGATTTTATTGATGTCGGAAGGTGATGATTTTATCCGATGTCTTCTCGTCGTTCCGCCTCATTGAACCGCTCTGTGTTGCCAGCTGACTCTCACACAGCTGACCTACATCGACAAATCTCTGAACCTATTCACCACACTGAATCGGTTCGCCACACTGAATGGATTCACCAGGTCGAACTGTTTCACCACGGCGTATTGGATCATGACATCGACTCAATTTGCCATATATAAGACTGTTTCTTATCGCTGAAATGGTTCACATCATCGAATCGATTCATCGCACCGAAACGGTTGGCCTCGCCGTAACGGCTTTTTTCACCGAAACGATTCACCTCGTTGAACCAATTCACCTCGGGTGGAACATTCACCTCACCTCACCGGTTCATCTGATCATTCTAGATCTCTCCATCAGCTGAGATCAATTAAACGTTTTGGATTACCAAACCGATCCAGATCACAGTCATGATCCAGGTCACAACATGGATCCAGATCACATCAACGTTTCGGCTCACCATTCTGAATCAGATTAATTATTATTATAGGATATTTATATAGCGCACATATCCACGCACTAGTGCATGCTCAAGGCGTTGGTATTTTTTCCCTCGATTGTTGGATGTCAATATCAACTGCACATCGTATTAGCAATCTCAACTCCCTGGGGAGTATACAACTCTTGCTGACACTAGGCGCACCAAGTTATTGCCACTAGGCGCACCGAGTTATTGTGGCTTTCTCATCCTAACGAGGTACCCATTCACAGCTGGGTGGACTGGGACACATAGTCACAGCACTTTGTGCAACTTCACTGCACGTTGCTGAACCCGCAACTAGGTGTTTGCACGTATTCATGTGGCCACCATCTGGACATATACCAACGGATTCGTGGGTTCTTTTAAATGCACAGGGTTGTGTACTGTACACTAGGGGTTGTGACAACACTGAAAGAGTCTGCACACAAAGTTGACTCCAAGGTTTTTACACCCGGTCACAGGTGGGCTTGATCCCGGCACCTCAACCTCACTGGATCAGTAGTCTGGTGCCTTAACCAGCTCGCCCACCGTGCCCCCAGACTACTAATCTTAACCGATTTACAAGCCCGACTCGTCCCGTTTCACCAGGCCAAACCGCTTCATATCACTGAACCAGTTCACCTGGCCGTTCACTGGAAGATCACTGAATCGTCAGCATTCATCGAACTGTCAGCATTCGTCAATAATCCCTTCCTCAGACCTTGCCTACCAATTGAGCTGATTCACCGAATTCGGCGATTCACCACTTGTGTTATTTCCAACACTGCACATCTTACCAGCCTATTGGTTCGTCAGAGCCTATGCAAATTGTGTCTGGGATACCTCCCAAGACACTTAACCCACATCAAACTTCATCTTTGTTTTCATGGTTTGGGCTATGCCAGTCGCCTTTAAGATGCAGGAATTGTTTTGGTTGATTCGACACACATGATCGCTTGGTTCGCTGACCACCTACAGCTACCTAGAGCAAGATACCAGATTTCTATTTATTACATTCAACAAGAAGGATCGGGACTTGTCAACACCGTCTTTTTACATCCTCAACGAGGATCGTGAACTTGCATCTAGATATGGCCAAATTTGTCAAACTTTGCTAGTTCCTAATTTTCAGGGCATCTGTGAGGCGCGAATTCCTTACCACGGAGTGGCAAGCTCTAAGCACGACAAACTGATTTGTTTATCCGGTTTACCTTACGGATTGTGAGTCGCTTAAAGTTTTTAGTCACAGAACTTATCCCACCTGGTACCCTTTTTCTGCTGGTTGAACAGAGGTAGTAGCTATGTGCTTCACTATGCCAAATCGATTCACATTTGATGTCAGCAACGCAGTCATCTAGACATTACGGTCGGCACTTGACGGTCTGACAATCCCAGTGCTCAAAAGTCCTCCGTGACCGGGAACTTATCTCATTCCAGATTTAATCTTACATCCGATCTTCACCTTTGATGAATGATTCGGTTCAAAGAATCTATCCTTCAGCGTAGATATCAGCTCTACAACCACCCGATAGGGCATTACTAGATAAGCTTGCTAGCCAGGAATACTTTACGACGCTTCACTGAGTCTTGTTACTACAGACTACTCGTAACAGCATTTCTGTGTATCGCTGAGTGCAATCATTGGAGATGGTTCGTCATCTTCAGCACCCTGTGTTTTACATCATCAGCAAGTTTCTGGACAGATGACAGATGGGTCAAGTTCTTGTGCATGGTACCAGCAGCGATGTCTTGACAAGTCGCCAGCATAGCTTAGCCCGGAATTTATGGGTTGTGACTCTCCCGGTTAACCGAAGACCGTGTTGTCTGGATTTTGGTCACTATTGCATCGTGGGTAAATGGCGGACTACTGTTTGTTTACCGAAATTTTAATGATTAGAGTGACTATGAAGTGCCCTGGCAGACTTGTCTTGGTCCCACGAGTCGGATATCAAGTCCAGCCTTTAACCCCCTTGATGCCGAGTTTTTTTTCAGGCGCACATTTTCATATGCTTTGAAAAGTGATCGTTGTGCGAGAATTGCGATCGCGTGGTCCTGGATGTACGTACGGCTATAAAATTACACAGAAATGTAGAATATTAAATTTTCTATCCGTTGGTATAAATATAAGTGCAACTACCTTGGCGGTTTGAGAAATAGACCTTGCTAAATGTTGTCAAAATTTTTGTTATGCGTTTAAAAGCAGTAAATTTCTCCGCTTTTTATCGCGCACTGTGCTATGAATTTTTTAATGTGGCATCTTTACGGAATGTGTGAGTGAAGAAAATACAGCCTGATATCTGAACGACATAAGTGTATATGAATTGGGTTTATGTGCTTGTGCATAACGCTATATGCTCAACATTAAGAATGACTCGTAATAAATGTCAAAAATGGATTTTCTTCTATGACGTCAAACGACGACAGAGAGGTCATACACGTATAATGATAAGGGGGCATAACTCCGTTTTGCGTAACACTAGGTCAATGTAACTCAGATCACTTGGAGAAAATTTGTTGTGGATACGGACGCTATATTTTCGTTATTTTATGTTCATGGTGAACCAAACTATTCCAATTCAAAGTTCCCCAATGTGAACGGATCCGCTTTGGAATTTTTACAATTTATAAGAAAAGATGTCAACGTATTACATGTAAAAGCACGTAATACCAATTTCAATTGCCCTATCCGATATAGTTAGTTCTTAGATTCCCATATTCTCCTGTTTGTGTAGATGTAATTTGACTTATTTTGCATCGTTATTACCAGAGTACTAGCCATATCTTCAAATGTAACGAAATTGCTGAAAATGATACAACATTTTAGTTGACGTCATTGCTTGTTTTATGCATTTTGCGACGTCGGAAAAAGACGACATTGGTATGCTGATTAGTATATATCTCACTTAATTTCCATTAATTGTGTAAAAGGTCTAGACTTCTATGTCAGAATTTAACACTCTTTAGACAAAACATAAAATGACTGATTTTTCCATTTAAATAGTGTCCTGAATATATCAACAATTAGACGGTTTGACAGCGTATCATTTTGTGAACAACATGCGCACCTGTTTGGCATCAATTTAACGTAAATAAAAATAATATTTCACAACACCCGAATGTTTGTTTGGGATAAGAATTTTGTTTGTTTATGATTATATGTCGCTATTTCTCTTCATACGTATGCAATGAAAGATGCAAAAAGATAGCTTTTTATATATGGAACTATATATTAGAATATGGATGTAAGATTTGTCCGAATTAACACATGAGATGGTATATATATTTTTCAACAATTTTCCTATAAATTTAGTTAGAGTTTGATATCCTGTCATCACAATATTATTTAATCGAATATGAATGGAATATATAATCGAAAACAATGATAGAGAATCATAAAGCGTTTCCAACAAACGCGCACCTTGCCGATCAATATGCATCATTCTTTTGTCTATAAAACGACACAAAATTATGCAATGAACAAGAAAATTCCTTTAAATATGTGTGCATATACATTTCATACCATATATAAATCATTGTCATTAATATCATCAGTTTTACATGTAAGGTTGAATTAAATCAACGTTCATTAACCTGTTCATAT